TCTAAGTTAGAAATGACACCAAGTTATACAAACTCAGAACAGAGATAGAGGAAAAACTCCATGACTCTTTTTATGAGATCAAAATAATTCTAATACCAAAATTTAAAATTTAAAAGACTATTTTAAGAGCCAAGCATGGTGGTTCAAGTCCATAATCCTAACACTCAGAGGAGGCTGAGGCAGAAGGGTCACGGGGTTAATGCCAACCTGGGCTGTATAGTTAGTTCAAGTGCAACCAGGTATAACCAAAAAAAAAAAAAATTTAAAGGGTATTATAAGAAAAATTAATTAAATGTAATATCCCTCTCAAATACAGATGCAAAACTTCTTCAGAAAAATATTTGCAAATCAAAAAAAGCAAAATATAAAGAGAATAATAAATCAAGACCGGATTATCCTTGGACTTCAAGTGGTTCTATATCTACAGATCAATCACCAGCATTCACCACATTAGCAGAATAAAGGAGGAAACTCACTGATCATCTCTAAAGAAATAGGAAATGTCTTTGCCAAAAACTTACCTGTTGATGATTTTTTAAGATTTATTTTAACTTTAATTATGTGTATGTGTATATGTACATCCACGTTAGTACAGGTGCCCATAGAGTTCAGAAGAGGGTGTCAGATCCCCTAGAGTTTGAGTTACAAGCAGTTGTGAACCACTTTATGTAGGTGCTGGGATCTGAACTCAGATCCTCTACAAGATCAAGAAGAGCTCTTAACCACTGAGACATCGCTCCAGGCCCCATTGATCATTTTTAAAGATTTGCATATCTATTTAATGCATATGAGATTTAACTGCATATATGTAAGTGTACTGCATTCATGCCTGGTGCCCACAGAGACCAGAAGAGGGCATTGGATCCCCTGGAACTAGAGTTAAAGATGGTTGTAAGTCACCATATGGGTGCTGAGAACCAAGCCAGCACTTTTAACCACTGAGCCATCTCTTCAGCCCATTGATTTTTTTTTTTAAGAAATAAAAATTGAAAAATAAAACATCACAAAAAACTGGAAACAGGATAAATCAACAACAGCATCTAAGAAAAATGCAAACATTTAGCAATTAAATAATGAACTTTTCCTTCCAAAGGTCAGAAATGAGGCAAGGATACCCACTCTCTTTCTAGATTCCCTCCCCAATATCCCATTGAAATTCTAAAGCAAAACAGTGGTACAAAAACAGAAACTAGAAGTGAAGGAATAAAACTCAAGCAACAAAAAGAATTACTGATACACTCAGCAGCATGGATAAATCTCAAAAACATTATGCTGAGAGAAAGATGTCAGCCACAAAGGAATACACACACTGTTATTCTATTTACATATGCTCCTACAACAGATAAAATAAATTTAAAGGACAGAAGCAGATGGATGGTTGCCTGAGGGTTGGTGAAGAAAGAATGGTGGTAAATGGGGAACTTTTAGAAGTGTTTAGAAATGTTCTATGTCTTGATTGTGGTGATTACTACAAGAACTGTACATTTTTAAAAATTCATATGTTAGGGGCTGCAGAGATGGCTCAGTAGTTAAAGCTGTGCACTGCTCTTACATAAGATCTGAATTTAGTTCCCAGCTCCTATGTTTGGTGCCTCATTATTCCAGTTCCAGGGGGTCTGACACCCTCTTCTGGTCTTCACAGCTACCTGCATTCACATGCACATACCCATACATAGGCATACACATAGACACATAATTAAAAATAAAATTAAATCTCTTTTTTTTAATGTAGGAAGAGGCCAGGCATGCCTTTAATCCCAGCACTTGGGAGTCAGAAGTAGGAGGATCTCTGTGAAATGGAGGTCAGTCTGCTTTACATAGTGAGTTCCAGGCCAACTGGGCTACAGGGAGACCCTGTCTCAAAATAAATAATAATAATAATAATTTTGAAGTAGGAAGAACAGAACCCACTAAGAAAATGAAAAAGAAAGACCTGGACTA